GGGGGGGGGGGGCGCTGGCACTTGACGTCAGCGGGGGGAGGGGCAACGCAATCCCCGCTCCACCCTAGAGATGTCTGAAAGAAACACTGTTGACATTGGATGTCACTCAACATACAACAGAAGTCAACTGTTAGAAGACACAATGGATTGGTGTGAAGGCCGAGGTCACGATAACAGAGCACTGGGTTATTTGACCACTTGGGGGGGGGGTTGGGAGTTACGGGAGGAGGGGAGGTGGAGTTTCTGGGAGGAATTTACCGGGAGGGATGTAAAGATAGTCGACGGAGGTGGGATTCAGTTACTGACATTGATATACCATTGGTAGTGGGAGGGGAGAAGGAGTTACAGCGATGGTAGTGGGAGGGGAGAATGAGTTACTGCGATGGTAATGGGAGGGGAGAAGGAGTTACTGCGATGGTAGTGGGAGGGGAGAAGGAGTTACTGCGATGTATTTTATGTTGCTAGTGGGAGGGGGGTTGGGGTTACTGGGAGGGAGAGATGTAAAGATGGTAGTGCGGGTGCGAGATGGAGTTACATGTCGTTTTGTAACATTTGTAGTTAAAATGTTTTCATTTTCAGTTAGTGGCTGAAAACTTTTTACTACCACAAATACATTCTTTCTGAAGTTAACGCAATTTTACCCTACATTTCCCTTAATTTTTAGGAATGACACTAAAATTTAGAATGACACACCTTTCGCTTGCCACATACTTGGAATGACACAAATTTGAAATGCGACATTGGGAATGACACATATTTGAAATGACACACTTTTGGAATGACGCACATTTGGAAGACACATATTTGGAATGACACACATTTGGAATGACACATATTTGGAATGACACATATTTGGAATGACACATATTTGGAATCACACTCATTTGGAATGACACATAAATTGGAATGACACTCATTTGGAATGACACATATTTGGAATGACACTCATTTGGAATAAAAGAAATTTTGAATGACCCTTTTGGAATGTCACATATTTGTAATGACACATATTTTTTAATGAAACACATTTGGAATGACAAATATTTGGCATGACACATTTAATTTGGAATGACATATATTTGAAATGACACATTTCGATTACTCTGATTGGTAATGACTCACATTTAACCGCACAGTCAATCGCCCACCCCAAGTTTTAATTTCAATTTTAAGACTTATAATTGAAAAGTTCATTATAGCCCTGCTAAATTCCTTTATGGTCTATTAAATTCATCATATGCCGATTAAATTAGTTTTGTGAACAATAACTTGATTTGATGATTTGATTGGTTGAAAAATTTAAAGAATTATTGAGCTTTTCGCAAATGTCTGTCGGTTAGTTATCTATATCATTACTGATGGTCAACAATGTTCTAACAAATTTTTTAATAGTTAAACACCATGACCCACAGAATTGTCCAAGGTCAAGGATGGAGGGGCATTGTCTTCCACCACTCAGAGAGGAAATAAGCCGCTGTCTATAATTGTTCCTAGACTTTTGTCTGGATTGTCTTACAGCCCCTACCACTTTTTCCCAGCATTCACTTTTTCCAAACATCCACTTATTCCCAACATTAACCTTTTCCCAGCATTCACTTCTTTCGAACATTCACTTTTTTCCAACATTCCCTTTTCCCAAAATCCACTTTTTCTCAGCATTCGCCTTTTCTCAACATTCACTTATCAATCTAGGAATTATCGTTGATAACGTGATTAGTTATCTTTATGAAGTGAAAATTTTGTAAAAATTAGTTTATAGATTGTCAATAGCTCGGTTCACTATATGCGCTGTAACGGCATGAAACATGAAGTAAATATTCTCTCTTTGTCAGAAAATGTTAACAATTCCCCTCTAATCGTACTTACCTCACCATCCCCCTTATGTCTTAAAACTTTATAAGTAATCTCGTAACCCCTCCAACCGGGAAGGTGAGGGGTGGGCGGGGTCAGCTAAATAGATTCTACATTATGTCCAGTGTCTTTCTGCACACTTGGGCTAGCAAACAATTAATGTTTTAACACCTTCGTCATGGGGTTCATACAATTGTGTGCTGACCAAAGTTGACCCAACTCTCCTCTGCTTGCAGTAGTCTGTTTGTCTGATTGTCATCGTTTGGCAGACGTCACGCTTACGTCATCCGGCAAAGGGTTAAGAATTTAAAAGTTCAGCTAGAGATTGGGTAATGGTCAGTATGACTGCAGACGTAACAAGGAAAGACCATGTAGTTATCTCACTCTAACGGACACATACTTTGTATACATCCTTGGTCTTGAAAACTGGGTAAGATATAGTCATGTTCTTTCGAGAGTAGACTAAGATTAGTGCTCATTCTGCGATATTTGGGTAAGATATGGTCATGTTTATGCGAGAGTAGACTAAGATTGGTGCGCATTCTGTGATATTTGGGTAAGATATGGTCATGTTCTTGCGAGAGTAGACTAAGATTGGTGCGCATTCTGTGATATTTGGGTAAGATATGGTCATGTTTATGCGAGAGTAGACTATGATTGGTGCGCATTCTGTGATATTTGGGTAAGATATGGTCATGTTCGTGCAAGAGTAGACTAAGATTGGTGTTCATTCTGTGATATTTGGGTAAGATATGGTCCTGTTCATAGAGAGTAGACTAAGATTGGTGCGCATTCTGTGGTATTTGGGTAAGATATGGTCATGTTTATGCGAGAGTAGACTATGATTGGTGTGCATTCTGTGATATTTGGGTAAGATATGGTCATGTTCGTGCAAGAGTAGACTAAGATTGGTGTTCATTCTGTGATATTTGGGTAAGATATGGTCCTGTTCATAGAGAGTAGACTAAGATTGGTGCGCATTCTGTGATATTTGGGTAAGATATGGTCATGTTCTTGCGAGAGTAGACTAAGATTGGTACGCATTCTGTGATATTTGGGTAAGATATGGTCATGTTTATGCGAGAGTAGACTAAGATTGGTGCGCATTCTGTGATATTTGGGTAAGATATGGTCATGTTCATGTGAGAGTAGACTAAGATTGGTGCGCATTCTGTGATATTTGGGTAAGATATGGTCATGTATATGCGAGAGTAGACTAAGATTGGTGCTCATTCTGTGTTATTTGGGTTAGATATGGTTATGTTCTTGCGAGGGAAGCTATGATTCGTGCTCATTCTATGATATTTAGGTAAGACTTATTAGTACAAGTTCGAGAAACATCTCGGGAACATGCCATTGTCGGGGTAAGGCGACCCGTGGAGAAAATTCAATCACTGAGACATCAGTCAGGTTACATGGATGAGAATCGTGCATTGCCCACATCATGAATTTACTTTCAAGCAGTGCCCAACTCGCTGGGGCCATAGAAAGTGACTTGCTTGGGCCATAAAGAGTGACTAACTGGAGCCATAAAGAGTGACTAGCTGTGGCCATAAAGAATAACTAGCATGGGCCATAAAGAGTGACTAGCTGGGGCCATAAAGAGTGACTAGCATGGGCCATAAAGAGTGGCTAGCTGTGGCCATTAAGAGTGACTAGCTGGGGCCATAAAGAGTGACTAGCTGGGGCCATAAAGAGTGACTAGCTATGACCATTAAGAGTGACTTGCTGGGGTAATAGAGAGTGACTAGCTGGATCCTTTCATTCAGTTTTAACCTAGACGTTCTCGTAGAACAGTAGTGACATATACTGGGCAACATAAAGGCATTAACGATGCTGTAGGCCATTACCCCATAAGCAGTTATTTTCGTATCTCTCTTGTGGACTATTAAGGTTACAATGATTTCAAATACATTAGACATCATGTAACAATACATGTATCACACAATACATCTCACGTTGACAGAGAAATACATTAGACATCATGTAGCAATACATGTATCACACAACACATCTCACGTTGACAGAGAAATACATTAGACATCATGTAGCAATACATGTATCACACAACACATCTCACGTTGACAGCGAAATAAAGATCCAGTTAATGGCATGTTGTACGATCTCTCCCCTAGATATGGCCTACTTAATGGAAGGGCTCCCCACGTACAGGTCAGCGCCCTTCCACTCACGTCGTATACTTACCGAGCATCAGATCGGGGGACTGCATAGGAGGAAGTTCCGTGAGGTCACACAACATTGCCAGGCTATAACTGTCGGTATGTCATATGACATGTGGCCTGATCCTGGCCTAAATTTTGGGGCCTCGTAAACCCTAATTGTTAGTGCCACGCTAATGATAATTTTTAGTCCATCGTTAATCCTAATTTTTAGTCCATCGTTAATCCTAATGGTAGAGAAAATGTTAAAAATTCCACAGTGCTTATGGGTTGTTTTGTTGTGATTCAGTGCATATTCCTAGAGCTGCTTAGAAAGGAATAAATTGAAATATATAAATTGGTATTTTTTAAATATTTTTTTATATTTTGTGTGTGTGACCTGTTTCCAGAATGTCTGACGGACAGCAGCAAGCAATACTCACATAAAACTTCACAGCGACATCAGTCAAGGGCCAACGGCAGACCCAAGATTTTAACGAAGACAAAGCTAATGAAGTCGGACGTCAAGGACGCCCTCCATTCGGATTGGCTTGGGGTCAGGGGCGTCTCCATGAAGTTTTACATGAGCGAGCAAAAACAAATGCTGGAGTCGAACCGCTTCACGGGCGGCACCAGGACGGACGAACCTCAACACCGCGGCAACGACAAAATAAGGGCGTGGTCGATAAAGGACACGACATCGGCATCGTACCAGGCGCCGCCCATGAAAGGGATACTAAAGTCTTGCAGTGGTTCTTCCATTAGCGAGGAACAGAGAGGGATTTGTCAAACGGTGTGCAGTAGAAACTCCTTCGACTCGACCAGATCCCCCAAGAAGGTACAATTCAAGAGTGAATCGCCTTTAGATGCTACAGAATCATTCATCAGAATGTTACATAGGAGGGCGCCGACTAATGACCTGACGCACCATGACCTACCACACCATGACCTACAACATGATTTTCTCCCACACTTCGACCTGGTACACGAGGATCAATCCCATTCCCCAGGGAACACTGTCAAGTTTTGCCTTCGTGGCGGTGCCAACCAAATCCTCTCCTACGACGAATGTGTGAGACTGGCCGGAGGACTGACCACTGGTCACCGCTGCTGCAGCACCGATGAGATGGTCGTGCAATTCGCAGACGGAGCCGAGGGAGGCTGGTCCATGAACAAAAACAACCAGGGCTTAGACAGCAACGCCGAAGACAACGACGACCTCAGCGGATGCCAGGCTGTCCAGCAGGACAAGTTACTCAGCTTGACCAACCGACCAGTCTCCTCGTCCATATTAAAGTTCATCACCAAGCATCAAAACTTAATCCCGGCCAACGCCCGGCTCAACGGCAGCGCTGACCACAGGATGGCGCACATGCCTTGCGTGCAGAGCGCATACAAAGACATGTTGAGTAATGTTCCGCAGAGGCAAGGTCTGAAGAAACTTCCCAGTGAGTGCGCGGCTCCGGGAAGACTGGCAATAACCCCAGGAGTCGTAGCTAAACACTGCGAGACAATGTGCTGTCCGGTCAAGAATGACAACGGTGGACCCGATGCAGGCCATTTGGCGAAAGGCGACTATATTAAAAATGGTGACATTGAAATTTCCTACGTAAAAAATTTTCAGCTGGAAGCCAGTGAAGTAACAGCGGCACCGAACGATGAAACCCTGCTACGGTAAGGTTAGGGCCACCAACTATGAGTGATTATTGCGGGCAGTTTAGCATGGGCTGTGGTGCTACAGAGATGAATGGTTTAGCATGGGATGTGGTGCTACAGGGATGGAATGGTTTAGCATGGGCTGTGGTGCTACAGGGATGAATGGTTTAGCATGGGCTGTGGTGCTACAGGGATGGAATGGCTTAGCATGGGCTGTGGTGCTACAGGGATGAATGGTTTAGCATGGGCTGTGGTGCTACAGGGATGGATGGTTTAGCATGGGCCGTGGTGCTACAGGGATGGAATGGTTTAGCATGGGCTGTGGTGCTACAGGGATGGATGGTTTAGCATGGGCTGTATGGGCTGTGGTGCTACAGGGATGGAATGGTTTAGCATGGGCTGTGGTGCTACAGGGATGAATGGTTTAGCATGGGCTGTGGTGCTACAGGGATGAATGGTTTAGCATGGGCTGTGGTGCTACAGGGATGGAATGGTTTAGCATGGGCTGTGGTGCTACAGGGATGAATGGTTTAGCATGGGCTGTGGTGCTACAGAGATGGAATGGCTTAGCATGGGCTGTGGTGCTACAGGGATGAATGGTTTAGCATGGGCTGTGGTGCTACAGAGATGGAATGGTTTAGCATGGGCTGTGGTGCTACAGGGATGGAATGGCTTAGCATGGGCGTTAATGCTACAGGGATGAATGGTTTAGCATGGGCGTTAATGCTACAGGGATGAATGGTTTAGCATGGGCGTTAATGCTACAGGGATGAATGGTTTAGTGGGCGTTAATGCTACAGGGATGAATGGTTTAGCGTGGGCGTTAATGCTACAGGGATGAATGGTTTAGCATGGGCGTTAATGCTACAGGGAAGATTGGTTTAGCATGGGCGTTAATGCTACAGGGATAAATGGTTCAGCGTGGGCTTTAATGCTACAGGGATGAATGGTTTAGCATGGGCGTTAATGCTACAGGGGTGGAATGGTTTAGCGTGGGCTGTTGTGTTACAGGGAGGGAATGGTTTAGCTTGGGCGTTAATGCTACAGGGATGAATGGTTTAGCGTGGGGGGTTGTGTTACAGGGATGGAATGGTTTAGCATGGGCCTTAATGCAACAAGGATGAATGGTTTAGCATGGGCGTTAATGCTACAGGGATGAATGGTTTAG